ATTTCATTACACCAAATACACAAAATAATGTTCTTTTTTAGCAACGTCATATGACCCCTTTAATGTACAGTACATGCCAATGTACCTAGTGATCAGAAGGCAGTACTTGAACTATTTGTTTTATATTTTCATTTCTTTATTTCTTTATTTTAAATTCCATGTTTTTAAGAAGTACAAATATTAAACATAATAACATTTTATAGTAGATTAGTAAATTCCATGTTATTGAAAATATTGAAAAATATATGACAAACAATTCTAAAATGTACATATATTACATTAAAATATATTCTATTAAAAATTATATTATATTATATTATTAATCATGCAAAAATAGAAGTTTCAGCTGCTGATGCAATAGCCTGATGCAATTTTCCCACAAAGAACTCCAAAGAACTCAAGTCAAGAACATCAAAAATGGTTCTTCACAAGAAGAGCCCAAGCACCTTTACTTTTAAGACAGCCGAACAGCACTCAATAATAACAAAGAGATCATCAGCAGCATCCATCAGAATGTGTCAGGTGAAAGCAGGGATGATTGACTGACAGCTCGGCCTCTGCACCGAGCTCAAGTCTAGCAGAACCTCAAGCGAGTTTGAGGGGACACACCCAAACCAGCCTAATCTTTGACAGCTCCTTTACCAGGTAACACAAATTAGAACCCAACACACCTCTCTCGCAAGTGTCCCGCCACAGAACCTTTCAAAAAAATCACGTTAGGTGCTCTGCAAAGCGCTCTTTTGCAATATTTCGCGAGCTCTGGCTTTACTCCGATGCTTTACAAAGCAACAACTTCTCACTTTGGCCGACTAAAGAAAATTCCCCTTCTTCTTGGTGAACAATGGCGGTGATTCTCAGTAAAATTATAATATTTCTAACAAACAATACTTAAAATAAACTGAGGACTCAAGACACCAAAATAAGTCTGTCCTGCATGTACCCATTACAATGTAATTCTCATTGACATCCCTGTCAAGATTCGAGGAAACACTCATTCACTAATTCATTTTATGTTATTATTTTACTGTTAGGACTAATGATGAAAAATAAGACTCAGTAAAATATATTTACTATTCAGAGAGATATAATATCACACAACACAGAAACTGGACCAAAATATGAATGAATCTACACCACGACAATGACCTTTTTTAAGTTATGCGAACAATTAATTCACAAAAAGCCACATAAAACAAAACACAGTAGTAAATATAATTTAAAAAAAAATATATATATATATATATATATATATATATATATATAAATGTATATTAATATTGATTATACCACTGCAAATTCACCTGTAAATATATATTTAAAAAAATATAATTAAAAAAATTTGTACTTACATAAGACCAAGCATAGGACCAAAACCAAGGGTCCTAGCGCAAAAAATCTTGCCATATCCAAAGGTTCAAACGCTGCTTCTAAGACACCATATGTCCTATTTGAAACAGACACAGATCTGGGTTAACCATCAGAAAGCGTACTGGCTTTTTGGTCTCTCTTGCTCTGTTTTCATGTAATCTTACGTGTTCTCATGCGTCTAACCAGTCGGTTCTGTTGCTGGTGAGTTTTCACCTTTAAAAAAATCCTTAAGCAGTTTTTTGGGGGGTCTAGAGACAGCAGAGCAGTGTCAGAGACACTCTCTCCTTCAGCTTTGAGTTAAGGCCCTTTCTTAACAGGAAGTTGCTTTTTCATCTACGCCACACATCTCTCGCCTTCTACTGTGTCATGTCCTTCAAATGGGAAATGAGAGAAAATGATCTCATTTTTGCTTTTTTTGCTTTCGACGACCTGCATCCATAGTGAGTGCCGCACCTTCAGAAGATGCACATTTAAAACTAAAATCACCTCCAGTTTAATGTGTGAACATTTCAAATCAAATGTCAAAGACACAGAAAGTGTTACAGCACATGGATCAAAACATCACCCACATTAGCCGGGCAAAATATTATTTCGATAAATATCAGCACTATTTGAAGTCTAATTCAAGGACTGGAACAAAAAAATAAAATAAAATAATACATAAATAGAAATAAATAAATTTTTGTATGTATATATATATATATATATATATATATATATATATATATATTTATTTAAATCCAAGAAGATACATTCACATTTGGAAAA